ATCATCCTCGATTGAAGAAACACGAGTATTTTCAGTTTCACAGATTAAACATTTAAGTTTTTCATCAATCGAAGGTCCGAAATCAGATTCGAATGTGGATTCATCGGCATCGGTAAACGTAAAAGATACATCTTTATCATTTAAAAAAGCTATCTCAGAAAATAATTAAATTTTTGATCTCTCATTTCCAAAAGTTTCACAAACAATAACGACTTTATACATTTATAGGAAATCGCGGCTAAGGATTAAATCTACAAAAAGTTCGTCATCTTCTAGAACAAGAAAAAAAAACTTTAAAAGTTTTGTTCGGAAAGATAGCAAATTGAAAATCTCCTCAAACCTTTATTATACTCTTATTTAAAGCTTTAACAGTTCGAGAAGGCATTTTCAACTAAAAGAAAGGAATGCCAATGAATCTTGTAAAGATTGAAGGACATATAAATGATACAGCACTGCCGGTATCAATAAATGCACCTAATGAACAATGTCAATCTAATGAACAATCTAACGTCATTCATAGATGTCACCTTGATAACATTATCGCAGATGTTGAAAGAAGATCCGGATTCAACGTAAACCATGGTCGGGGAAGAAAAGGACAAGGACGGGAAGGGTTGAACTGGTTGAGATGACTCCGAAGAAGGCATTGACGTCTCCTCAATTGAAGAGGATTGAGAAGAAGTGGAAGTAGGTCTGTTCTGTTCCTTTCTCTTCAGACGAACACAGTTGTCTCGAGAGTGTCCTTTCATCCTGCAGTAGACACAGAATAAATCCTTGGATCAGATGAGAGACTAGATTTTCCAGGAATAACTGCTTCATTTTTGATATTCTTTTTATCCTTGTTCGTCTTAAAAGGAGAAAATTTTTTAGAAGAATCGCCATAAGCTAAAGTTAGTACATGCATTTTATCTAAAAATTAATCCAAAGATTCGGCTTAAATCATTGATGCGAAGGCTCTAATTGAAGCATTTCCAATCCTTGAGATTACAAAATTTATGCTTTCGTTTTCAGGCAATCGAAGATTTTGCATCAGCTTCAATTTCTGCATGGCGTATTCCTGAAAGGACTCTTTAGTAAAATTCCATCTACGATTTTCTATTGTATTATACTTTCCTTTTGGAAAGTTACATGAAATAGAATATCTCTTCTAAACCTTCGAGAAATGGCTTGTTTTAAATTGGACCAAGAATCATTAACGGTACCTGAGTTGAGGTCTAACCAATCTTTTGCGGTTTTATTCAACTTACTACAGGCTGCCAAAAGAGTTACTTGGTCGGAGACTGCGTAAATATGGGAAACACGTTCTACCTTTTCAATCCATATGTCAACATTTTCATCTTCCAATCCAGAGAATGAAGGAAGTTGAGATGTAAGTAAATTAACGGCCACAGGAACAGTAAATAAAACAGGCTCCTATTATCTTGAACTAAAGTTCCAGAAATATCAGGAGTGGATTCCGTTCTTTGAGAATCTACGTTGATACTGCGAATCGACGAAACCAGCTGGGTCACCTGCTACATTAATTCGCTCTGTTGCTTCTGCATCATCTCACTTTGTTGCTTTAACAGTTCCGAGAAGAGACTAAATATTTGATGCATAGAAGAATCAGGAGCACGAGAATTAGAACCCGAAGCAGATGTAGTACTACTAGGTTGTTGAACCGAAGATGTCTGTGTTGAGCTAGAGGAAAATCCATTAGCAGACAAATGAGTAAAATCAGCAAGAGGACTATTTCGCTCCAAATGCGTCATTAATTGATCAATCAACAGATCCCGAGAATTGGCAGGCACAAGCCCATAGCTGTGTGCTTCATTTTTTAATTCTTCAATGGAAAGTTCGTCTAAGCGACTTCGATCCATAATTGTAAATAAATAAGTCGATGCAAAAAGGCGAAAGGAATTTAATCCGTCGTCTTGTAAATAAGATATTGATTAATAGCTAACCTTTTATTGAATGCTTCTACTTGAATACGTCCAATAGCAAAATTTCTCAATTTTCCATGTCAAGACTGCCTGATCATCAGATGCAAAGGACTCGGATACACCATAAACGACTTCAGAAAGCAGATGAAAATCCAATTTATCATCCCACTTCTGAGCCGAAAAATCCTTGGATTTATCAGTTCTTCTCTGAAGAACCTTGGAGGGCAAACACCAACTTTCTTCTTTTTTTAAATTATTTAGTGGACAAAGGTTTTTTCAGATAAACTAGTTTTAATAAATTATTTGACAAATCAATACGAAGATCTTCTCCTTTCAATCTCCGAGACAAAAATCAATCGCGCTTCGCTTTTTATCAACAACCGTCATTAAAGAATAACGAATGCTTCGAGATAATCACAAGTTTTAAAAATAGCACGGAATAGCACTGCGCAAAGTGTCGCTGTTGCGCATCAATCGCGGTGTGTATTTATCGATTTCTTATAATTTAATTAATGTAATCTCATCACAATTCAATGATGGACAATTATGGTATAGTTTATTTAATATATTAATCAAATGGTTTCTGACGTAATAATATTATTAGAATGATTAGATATATTATTTTCAATTTGTTTTATAAATTCAATTGTAGTTTTGTTGTCTTGAATCAAAAGCAATCCAAACCGTTCATCTAGTTGTAATAAGCATTGGACATCATATGGAAGATCAACGTCACTTAAATTCACAAACCATTTCTCATATACCATGTCTAACGGACTGACAGTATCGAATTTTGTTGGAAGAAATATGCACATTTTGTTGAAAATCAGTTACTTGATCAATATGTTCATTGTCAGAGATCCCACAATTAAGCTGTGCGTCATTAATTGAAATGTCACAGTGCTATCATTCTGAACCTTATAAGAATACTTAATGAATATTGCTTTATTAGTTAAAAAATCAAAACTTTAGAATAGTCAAATTTATTACTATCTATACATATAATACATATTCTGTTTACGAAATGTTTATATTTGTATTTTTATATTTGTATACCTGTATGCAATAAATATTTGTTTTGTAAAATTGCGATTTTTTTCTTAAGCAATGAAAATCTAAAATCGATGTTCTCGAAGATACTTATCATAGTGATCTACAAAGATATTCTAGAATAATCTAAAGGAATAATACTTTATGTACTCGTATAAGGTAATCTTAGATGAGCAAAGTAAATTTGGAAAAATCTTAAATACTCTAAGATAATTTTGAGTAATAAAAGGTAGTCTTTGGTAATCTTAAATAATTTGAAGTAGTATATATGTTAAGTGATCTCTTAAGTGATCCGAGGTAATTTAAAAATAATCCGTATCACACAAAGAACATTTTTGTACACTATGAGCGCTCGTAATCAACCCCCCGATCATGTATTACTATTTGTGTGCTACATTCTATTAACTGTATTTCAAAATTTACTGGCAGTACTAAAAATCTATAATGCACGTAACGTAAACTATAGATTTTCATTACTAATAGTAATTTATAATAAATATAATAAATAAAATTTTTGAAACGTAGCTTATATTGGCAAACTTTGGCAGTAGCCGAGCATAATTTGCTGTCTTTAGTGTCGGTAGAAAAACGAGAAGTTATAATATCAAGATTTCGACTGAATTTGTTGCACGCTAATTATTATAGACTTGCATATTTCGAGAGCAACAAATTCAGACATCTCAGTACTTTAAAGAAGCAATAAATATTTTACTGATATTTACTGATAATACTCTTGTTCCGTTAGCTCGCTGAGGTTTTTGTTGTTATTTATATTTATTTTGTAAGCAACAAATTCGTAATTTGCAACAAATCAGATGATTTCAGACAAAATCTCAGTACCAATTTTAACCTGAATGATCACCTACCAGTCATTTTGCTTTTTTGTTTTCTATTTATATTTTTAAATTTATTGGCACTATTATATTTTTATCTTTACGTAATTGTTTGTTAATGTTTTTTTCGTATAATATGCAAAAATAGATGACCTAACACGCTTATATCTATATAAAATTTAATATATTTATAACGGTCGGTCTAAAAGACCGT